CAAAATTGCGGATTTTTTACTCAAATACCCAAATTAGCTTAATGAGATTGGGCGTTCAAGTTGGCACCCAGACGCGGGAGCGTTCATTCTTCGGTCCGACCGAAATTACTAAGTCAGGCAATGGTCCAGCGCGGAATTTGTATCTAACGCTTGGGGCATCTGAGTAGAATCATGTCATATTCTCCGCGAGGTTATGCACAAATGCATTACTATTATGGTGCTACCCTTGGAAATGCTCGAGCAGCTGCTCGCATGTATCGGGAGTACGTTGTTAGAAGAGGTGAACCACAACCGGCGGTATATCCCGACTACCGCGTTTTTCTACGCTTCCATAATGCGTATATGGAGGGCCGCATACTAGGCACTCATAGTCAGCTAGGAGCGCCGAGACTACGCCCAGAAGAAATAGAAGGTATAATAGAAGCAGCTGAGAAAGATCCCGCTATAAGCACCAGAGCCATTGCCCAAAGCAGAAACATATCCCATACTTCAGTGCACACAATACTACGCTCGGAGAACATGCATCGCATCCTTACCATTTACAAGAATTGCTTCCAAGCAACTATGCACAACGGGTTGAATTTTGTGAAAGTATGTTATGGACAGCTGAATCCAACTTTAACCGAAATGGAATATTCAACATGAACAATTTCCATTCATGGAGCGTGAAAAATCCACACGTTATTCGCCGACACAGCTTTCAACGTCAGTTCAGCGGCTGGAGTACACAATAAAAAATTAATTAGACCATATGAATTGCCCGCCGGGTTAAAGGGTCAGTTATACCTTGCTTTTCTACAAAGTTTGCTACAGTTTGTATGAGCTGCTAGATGATGTACAAACCTTTGGACGTCCGAAGCCGCATGTATTTTCAATGCGATGGTGCCCCATGTCACTTTGCACGGGATGTACGGCATTACTTAGACAGTGCCTTTCCTGGGCGTTGGTTAGGTAGGGGTGGATACATGCGATGGCCTCCAAAGTCACCCGATTTAAATCCTCTAGATTTTTTTATATGGTAGTTTTATAAGAGGATAATCTATATATCTGAATATACAAATGTCAACCAACTGGGCCAGAAAATTGGTGAAGCAAAAATAAAGATTATGGAAGACGCAAATTCATTTCAAAGACTAAAGGAAAGTTTTATTAGAAGGTGTCGCTTGTGTATGGAAAATAATGGAGGCCATTTCGAATACGTTCTTTAAAAGTTAGTTAAAATTAATTATCTTCCACATTAATTTGTCGGTAAATCGCTATAAAGAGCGGCTAAGCACACTTGTACCTGGTAAGGATTCTATTGCGTTTCTTAGGTTTATCGCAGTACAACAACGAATGTGACATGATACTCTCATCGTAGAAATTTTCAGGGTTTATTCTACATGGACTAAAATAGTGTTTACAAGAAGATGAATAATGAAATAGATCCTCAATTTTTTTACTGCCCTCCAATATATATATACAATTAATTGTTAATTGGGAAATTGGCAACTGAACGTGGGCAATGGCAATGACTACTGCTCATATATATATATACAGGGTGACTTTGAAGTTGAGTCATTAATTTTCAGATAATGATTGTAGAAGGAAGATAAACCAAAATATGTGTGTAAAAATAAAAAAAAATTAAAAAAATTGTTTACCTTGTTTTATAAAGTACCCGCCCGACAAGTATTTCAGTGCGGACCTGTATTTGATCGTGAGGTCTTGGAGCACCGGCATGCAGTCCCCTGTGAGGTCTTAAGTCACCTGATTCACGAGCCCGTTGTACTACATTAACAAAGACACGAGGGGTTGGTTGCACTCGATTGGGAAACCGATCCGCATAAATATGTGCCATTTTTCATTTCGTTTGAGCCACGCAGCAAACACCACTATTCACTCACGCGTTACCGACTGACACAGACTGAATAAAAACATCGTGATCAGCGTTTCAAATTCTTTCGCTTTTTTGTTTCCGATGCGATGAACCGATAAGGCGGAGTATATCCGTTGTCGCCAAACACGAGCACATAATATTATTATTGAGACCGGGCGGTACTCAAACTTGTAAAGGGCTATAACTTTGTTACTTTAATTTTACCACAAAAATGTTAAAGGAAAAAAACATTTCTTTTGATCAGATCTACTCACTGCTAAAATAAATGACTCAACTTCGAAGTCACCCTGTATACAGGTTTATCCAAATTAAGTGTCCACCATTAGTAACTTTGTTATTAGTGAAAATACAAAGTTGTTTGAATTAGCAAACTAGTAGCATTTTTAACGCTGGTAAAAATGAGAAATAAAAAAAAACAATTGAGAGTCGTTATTTTGTTTTTTTTCAGTAAAATAACATTTTTTTAAATGGAAACCCCTGTATATTATATTTTTTTCTGTTAAAGCATCAAATTTTAAACAAAAAAGCTTACAATAACTTTTCTCCTAGGTTACAAATTGTTGAAGTTATGGCCTCCAATCTGAAACAATTAAATTGTATCGACAAACTTTATTTTCAACATCAACTTATAATCTTACAAAATACAATAACAATTTTTTTTAAAGAAGATGCTCGAAAACACCACCTTGTTCTTCAATACATTTTTGGGCACGTTTTTCAACTGCTCGAACTGTCTTAAGTATGGTCCTACCATCTATCTGGGTTATCTTTTCCCTAACTGCAGTCTTTAACGCGTCAAGGTTATCGTACCTTCGCTTGTAAATTTGGTTCTTTAAGTAACCCCACAAGAAGTAATCAAGTGGGTTTAGATCTGGTGATCTGGGAGGCCACTGTATTGGGCCATTTGTTCCTATCCACTGATCATTAAAAGTAGTACTTAGAAAATGATAAGTACCTCTGGAGTTGTGGGCAGGTGCGCCATCTTGCTGAAAATGCAGATGATGTCTACTTATAAGATCCAATTCGTCTAAGAAATTAGTCAGAATTTCTGACATAAATTCCACATATCTTTCACCAGTTAGGGTTCCCTCATAAAAGAACGGGCCAACAATTTTTGAACCAATTATACCGCACCAAACGTTGAAACTGAAACGGACTTGTGGGCCTCTTGGATGTACTAACAAAAGATTTTCTCTTGACCAATAATGGTGGTTTTTTCTATTAAACATTCCAGAATTTGAAAAATTTGATTCATCTGTCCATAAAAGGTAACGAAAGTTATTTACATTTTGGCGACAGAAGCTAAGATACCAATGGCAAAAAACAAGTCTTCTCTCTGGATCCCCTGCCAAAAGCGTTTGAACTGGTCGGTACTTATACGGAATAAATTTGTATTTTTTTAAAATCCTTTGAACAGTACCATAACTGAAATTAGAGTCCTTGAGAATATCTGCTATTGAATTCTCACGATAAGCTTCAAAATATCTAATAACTGCAATTTCCGTGGCCTAGCTTATTATGAATTCTGTTTTTGCCCTTGTTTTAGCAAAAACATTTTCGTTGCCCCTAAATTTTCGATAAAGTCTCAGAAAATATCGTTCATACGGTTGAATGCGAGCGGGATATAATTCACTCTTGCTCTCAAGGAGGATTTTCTGCACACTAAATAGCATTCTAACATATCACACTTTTCTTCATGGGAGAACATTTTTCTTTAAATTAATGACACAATAAAGCTTATAAACAAGTATTTACACTAATGTTTGACATTATTTGATTTTATCATTGTTTTCCAAAGCCTTCTAGTTGCGAGTATGTCCAGTTTAACAATTTGTCGCTTATCTTAATGCTGTCAAATCGCGAACGCCATGTTGTTTTCATAGCCGTCTTAATATTATAATACTGCAAATAATTAAAAATATTTATCGTTATTTTGACTTTATTTTTGACTTTAGCGGAAAAGTCATTATAAACTTTTTTGTTTAAAATTTGATGCTTTAACAGAAAAAAATATAATATACAGGGGTTTCCATTTAAAAAAATGTTATTTTACTGAAAAAAATCAAAATAACGACTCTCAATTGTTTTTTTTTATCTCTCATTTTTACCAGCGTTAAAAATGCTACTAGTTTGCTAATTTAAACAACTTTGTATTTTTACTAATAACAAAGTTACCAATGGTGGACACTTAATTTGGATAACCCTGTATATATATATATATAACTTGAGACGTGGTCATTGTCGTCTAGACCAGTTAGGTGAAAAATTTCTTACATAACATTCTGAAAATCACATCATCTGAAGTGATTTGGCAACGTTTGGCACACGCCCACAATTCGTTCCATCTTTCAACACAGACATTGACAACCTTCGGCCTTCCGTCAAAGGTTCATCTCACTCATTATTCCATGACCACCATTTTGTGCAATCATCAAGTGGCTTCACGATGTAATGCTCTAATGTTTTTTAAATAATTTTTAATCTGTTTTTAACTTGTCTTGTCATATTTTATATAATTTTGACCATTGTACCATGTATCCAGCTCTCACCATGTTACTGGACGTTTCCCTCATCCTATACGTAAACAACAATTAACAACATCCTCACATACTACTGTAAGTTGAGTCAATTTAAATTCATTTTACACTTTTGTTGCTACTGTTATCATTGTAATTGCAGCTGCTGATGATGATGGCAAAGTCCATTAAAAGCTAGAGAGAATTAAAAAAGTATAAAGAGTCCTCTTTGCTTAAATTTTGTTGAAGTACCCAACAAAAGGCGGAAGCTTTAATTTTTCATCTATTTATATATATATATATATACAATTAATTGTTAATTGGGAAATTGGCGACTGGTCGTTGGCAATGGCAATGACTACTGATCATATATATATATATATATATATATATATATATATATATATATATATATATGATTTTAAGTACCCGAATTAAACATATTTTTCTAATACAGCACTAGACGAGATATTTTCTTCCATGTTCTGACATTATTCTATACATTGTATACTATATACCTATACATTGCATAACCACAGCCTAAGAATACTTACTCGGTGTTTATTTGTAAAATTAAGGCATTTAATAATATTAAATTGTTTCAGGTTAGTGAGGGGTGTAATGAATGTGAACGTGAATATGAGAGTGGGAATTCATACAGGACGTGTTCACTGCGGAGTTTTGGGACTCAGAAAATGGCAGTTCGATGTTTGGTCTAATGACGTCACATTAGCGAATTATATGGAAAGTGGAGGCATACCAGGGTGAGACAATATATTTACGGATGGATTTTTGCACGACGAACTCAATTAGACCAGCAAATTCAGACATGAGAATAAGAAAAGAGGAATAGATGCTGATTTCTTAATTTTGTACATATTGATAATATTATCCAGATTTTTACTGCGCTGCTACCGCGCTTTTATTTTGCATCTTTCGTGCTGTTGGTAAATTCCACAAAAACATTTAAACTGTGGAACGGAAAAGGCCTTGTTTGAAGTGTTAATGAACTTTTGGCTAAATTTCAAGAGGTGATTTCTTGAGTGACAGTTTCTAGGAGGTCAATAGTGCTTCGTTTTCATTATACAGTGTGATTCAAACCTTTTTAAGCAGCGTTTTGCCAGAATATCAATACCTTCTTGTTGAAATTTGTCATATTTTACAGATGTAAAGCTAGAAATATAAATTAAACCGAATGAAAAAAGCGTCATTGTAACTCGAACCCTATGAATAAATGAACTAATAGCATTAGGTTTCCAGATTGCCAAGAGCGTGGTTTCAATAAAGGATTTATTTGATGGGTTTCAGATTTTCAGCGATATGACTGATCTTGTTATAACGACGAATTGTCAAAAAATTATGATACATTGCGCTGCATCTTGGAAATGAGTCATTAGCAGTACTATGTGTTTAAAAGCCTTTCATCTAAGAAACTGTTCTCACCTCAAGCAACAAACGGACCCGGCACAAGTGTTCAGATAAAATAGTTCTCGCCAAAGTGATAGGAATCCGATCAGTGGAGAAATTCGAGAGGGGCGAGGGAGTCCCTCCTAGACGCCATTTTTTAAAGATTGTTTCTATTGCTGAACCTTAGTGTAAAAATTACTTTGCTACACCTGAATCATAAGAGGTGCCCCCCCCCCTTCCCCTAGACGTATCTCACCATGCACTCTTTAGGGCTACCTCCTCCCCCCTGCTTAATTTTGAGTCGCCGAATCTACCAGTTGCTCAGGTAGGAACGCAAAAACAATGCAACAGAAGTCGAAATCGGATTGACTTCCGTCGGGTTACTTTTGGTGAAAACAGGGACTTATGAGTCACCCAAGGAGTTATTCCTCCAAGCTTGGTCAGATACTTTCATTAACATTAACAGTTGACTGTTTATCTCTTAAAACTGAGCTTAAAACAGTACATTTTCTCAAGGCCATTTATTCTGGTAGAGGGTTTGATATACAAACTTATTTCTATTGGTTTAGTCAAAAACACGAATTTTGTGTACCTATCTCTTATTTATATGTATTTAAGTTTAAGTAATTTAAATCTAGCAGCCTATGCAGCTATCATTTTCATTAAATACATTCAGGGTGTTCCTTTTAAGAAAACCGACTTTATTCAATATCCCTTTTATGAGACACAAAAAAGATTTGCATTAAAAACTCCATAAACTTAAACTTTTCAAGGGTTTTTTTTGGACCGAATGGAGGATTCTATCATTGCTTCATCCGATTAACTGTAACAGAAAATACATCAACCACGTTATTAATGGTATACATGGCGCAGTTTAACACTGACATAAAAAATAAAATGAAAACATGTGGTTAGGGTGGTCATTCAAATGCTGTAATTCTGTGATTTTTTTATGAAACAGGTCGATAGATAGAACGTATAGACACCGTACAGTCATGCAATGCATCAATATGCTATGCACATTCACCTATAGTGCAAAACGCTTATCCTTCTCTGGAATCATACAAAAATGGTACGAAACGTTCCAAACTGTATAAAGATAATTCTATGTCGTCTTTTTATGTGTGCCGAGTTACTTTTCAAATTGTCCTCACTCGCCGAACATATCAAAGCTCCTTGGAATTAAGGCATTTGCAAACGGCTACATTGCAGAAAGCTTCAAAACTGCAAGTATTTGACAGTTCAATCTTTAAGTTTGATAAACCACAAGTTCAGAAAAACAAAAATGACTTATGTTGCAACCCAATCACAGGAAATATGAAGAGCTTGGGGCACAAGAAACCTAACTCACATTGACTTCATTTCGAAAAATATGGTATGTCTTATGTAAATTATGATATCACATTACTTTGTTAATTTCGATTGAATAGGCTTACATTCAGGGGACCTTTAATTTGGCGATGGCAGAAGGGAAGAATGTATATTTTAAAATAATTTTATTTGCGCCTTAATGCAAGAGATAGTTGTAATGGGTGACATCGCAGTAGTAATAAGAACTGTCGTGACGTTACGAATGTCCTTTGTTGGCGGCAATAAGAACCGTTGAAAACAGGGCGCATCTTTGAAATTGACGGATCTCTTATCTACGGATAACTTTTCGTAACTGATATACGATTCAAATACGTACAAGTCTTGGTGTTCAATTAAGACTGTGTCAGATGCGTTTCTTATTTCACATGACAATTTATTCGGTGAAGACGGGCATAAACCACTTATTATAAACTACATACCTATTTCCGACATGTATTGAGAACTAGAAGAATTATTGTCTATTTCCCTAAATAAGGTATAAAATCACTATCTAGTGATATTGTGAAATTAGTACAGAGAAACAGCTACAAAGTTACTTCGCCTGAGTTACTGGTTCAGAAGCACTGTCAGAACTGCTTTCAGTCGGACAATACTTTCCGTCCTTCACCTGAACTAAATCCTGAACTACCTTCCTTTTATGTATTACGTCTACTGTATTCGCCAGCTAACATCTGCGAATTTAAAAATGTGTGGAGTGTCGTAGTATCTCAAAAACTTAATTTGGAAACACTGGCGACATCTACGGTGAAAATCAAATTTGGCTGACGTTGTAATGTGCACGAGAGAGAACCGCGATAAACGTTATGTATTTTAGGAGTGCGTCGATGGCTTCCGTTACCTCGTACTCAGGTTGCTAGGCAATGAGGCGCTTCTATCTCTTTCTATCATACATACTTGGCTTTCAGCGAATCACCAAACGTTAACATATTTTCTGTCGAAGTTAGGAGTATTGCCATTTCATTGTCGACTTTCAATAGTTTTTTATGTAACATATTATGCGATGCTTCCGGATATTTATGAGGAGATCATCTCTACTAACTGCCCTATATTTATGCAACTTTACTCTAATCTTTACAGACGTGTGCACATTACCAAGGAGACACTGAAATGCTTAGGAAATGACTATACCATCGAGCCAGGGCACGGAGAAGACAGAAATGCCTACTTGAAAGAGCACAAGATCGAAACGTACCTCATTATCGCACCTTCGTATAGAGGGGTGAGTTAATTAGTCTATTTAACTAATTTGTCTGTCAGTTTATTGTACCAGCGTAAGCCGGAAAAGACGCTGTGCTATCGTCATATAGCTAATTATGAGATGATACGAAACGCAACGCAGCATTTTATTACTGTTACTATTGCAGTAATAAAATATGTACAAAATTACATTAACACCTTATTGAGATAATCTCCCATGTTTGTTTAATCAGTGAAACCACATATATTTGAACTCTTTAATGTAGTGAATTTTTCGGTCACAACGGTGACCTTCTTCAGTGCTACCTACAACCCCCAATTTTCAATCCCTACGTAAATGTTTCTGAAAATTATGAGGAGTCTCTAAAACATCAAAAACGACAATAACCCGCTAGAATGTTTCGATCTGCTTTCTACTTCGACCTACGCACACTGGTCAAAGCGTTTTTGGTTTAGAACAACCTCTCTGTTCACAATCTTTTTTTAATTTTGATTCAACAGTGACCACTGACTGTATTTGTAATTTAATGAGTAAAGGACGAGGAAGCAAATGTCATTTGTTCTAGGAGTTTATTCAGCTGCTAGAGACTCTACCAAAAAGAGAGTATGTGTCCACCTCACTAACCAGCAGAGGAATATTGCTGGTTTCGTCATTGAACTTATAACTTCTGTAGGATGAGTGTGCCATCATTAAGTAAGAAGTCACAATATGCTTTCCTCGCAAATGTTTCGAGACATTTCACCTCGGGACGTAATTCAGAGAGGGTTGATGTCGAAACGTTGCGCATGAAAACATTGTTTAGGCTTCGCCTACAATATGGTGAGATGTTTCGCAGGATTAAAATGCTTGTTACTGGTTATATTTCTATTATTTCGATAGAAAACAGTAAATTACGACAATAAGTGTCTCAATAACATTTGATAAGGTAAAAGAGAAAAGTTGTCGAAATAAACACTTGTAACAGTTTACGATTTTTCTATTTGAATATAAAAAATATTAATGCTATTGTATTATAAAGGAGGAGTCGTTTGTTATTCAGAAATGTAAAGCATATTGTACTCTACTGGCCTTCCAGGAAACTATAGCTTTTCTTAGAAGGTATGTATGAACCGTCCAGAACAAGCTAAAACGGATTTATACCAAATCAAAACTTAGGGTGGATTTCACAATTTAACAAACCATTATTTTGCAACAATAGGGTTCGAGTACCAAACAGTCCGTTGAATAAACCTAATCAGCCTCAAGATCTCTCCGTCAAATTTTTGACAGCAAATAGCATCAGAGTATTCATAACAAAAGACTGAAAAATATAAGTGACAGCTTGTCATTGAAATGTTTTCAGTTTATTAAATATTATGGAATTATGTAAAACTGAGCCAAAATTTAAAAAAAATGCTTGATGTCTGAGTAAAATCCATTTTTTCAGCTTAGCTGACGATTTCTCCATGTTTATTGCAACTTTTGTACTCCATATCTGATTATATTAACTTAACATCACCTACCGTGTGTTTATAGTTTATCCTACTTTTGCAAACTTGCACTTTCAAACCCTTACATCAAAAAGCCTTTTCGCTCACATTTTTGTTAGGTGTTGCGTTTCAACACATTCATACACTTCCCTCCAGTTGCTCAACGACATTTTAACATCACTGGTCCGAAACGGTTCAAGATTTTCAACATTCATAGAAACATGCAGTTTCTTGTTTTGATTTATGTGTATAATCAGTCGCACCATTGGTGATGGTACATGGCACACTCAACATAACCACGTATTTGGAGGTTAGGACAGATTTAAAGTGAACACAGGACAATTCTGCACAAAAAAAATTTTGGGGGGAGCACCTTTTATACCGAAATTTGATTTTTAAGTATATTACCAAGTGAATCATACACGTTAGAGCTCAGCAATTTTATTACAATGAAAGAAATTAAAAAGATATAGAAATTCTGTTTTATATATATATATATATAAAGTTTAGGTTTTAGTAAACTGTTTTAACGGTAATCTCGTGTTTTCGGCATTCTCTACGGAGCCATCTTCAGGAGTCGTTGTTGAGGTTGCAGCCAAATGGTGTTTCAAAACGAGCGTGTGGATGAGAGCACTTGTTATAAATATAAAACCAAACGGACGGGCACATTGGGTTTATTGATAACGACGGAAACCATCGCTAGGTGTTAACGCTATACAGGGTGACGGGAAAATAGATGCGGAGCCGGTGGGTGGAGATAGTACAAGCCAATCTGAGTCAATTTTACTATAGGAACTACTAAAATTAGCCATTTTCGAATTATATTCATTTTTAAGATTTTATAAAATTAATGTCCTTTATACGTTAACCAAGTCATAAAACTTGAAAATTTGGTGTTTCATTTGATTTTTTTTTGGTTTTACAATAAAAATATTACAAAATACGAAAATTAATACTCAAATGTACATTATTGACATTATCTCATGCAGTAAGCTTCAAAATAGTTCAATTTTTGTTAAAAAAAATCTTCGTTCATCTCAGAAACTCAATTTACTAGAAACAATCACCTACAAATTGTTCGTGCAAAACAATTTTAAAATGTCTACGTTTCATTACCTTTCAAATGAGGTATTAAAGTCACAAACCGGTTTAGAAATGACAAAGATATGAGTGAAAGTAACAGGTAGAGCCGCAAACATCGGACTTTGCCACCGGAATAGTGTGATAAGTAAGACTAGTCACCCACCTCCCTCCCTCGCTTCAATCTGCTCTTGCGATTTGTTGCGTTCGGATGTGTTTGTTTGCTCACTGTTTTGATATTTCTAACGACTTGGCTCTTGTTGGACTTCCGTGTGTGATTCTTTTCCTGACGACATAGACTACACCCTGTTTTCTGTGATTCCTTACGACTTGGCTTCTGTGTGACTTGATTGTTCGTTGATCTACCCATCGATGAATAATGGCTGATGAACAAAGGAGGCGGCCATTTAGTTTCGAAGATTGTGCCCATATCCTTTTCTACTATGGAGATGCCAGAGACAATGCTGAAAAAGCTCGTCGTGAGTATGCGGAAATGTTTCTTAATCGTCGCCTACCTGACGCCCGCGTATTTAGGCAAACGTTCCGTCGGGTTCGAGAGCGCGGTACCGTCGTAAGATATCAAGGTAAGTTTGCATCATTGATAATTATTAACTTATCATAATCGGTCATTCAGTAAGGCCTATGTAGAGCCTTGGAGGTCTGTGGGCTGAACTGATGATACTGTAACATAGTTATTTTGATGCAGTTGATTTAGCTTCTTAATTAAGAGTTTATTCATTTAATTAACACGAGCATCTACACGGCTCTGAAGATGGAAACATCCACACGTTGTGTATCGTTTTTTTTCTAAATAATATTTTGCCAACTCTAGCTCATAGTTTTACCGCTATGTTTATTAGGTAACAATTTCTTCCAAGAAACTCTTGTAATTTGTTTTTTCATTTCATTTCAGGTGATGCAGGTAGACCTCGGCATGACGTGGAAGAAGAGGAAGAAATATTAAATATTTTCCAAAGAGACCCTACCCTCTCTACTCGTGCTGTGGCTCGACGGCTTGGATTATCCTGATGGCAAGTATGGTATGTTTTGCATGAAAACATATTCCATCCTTACCACTACTCATCTGTGCAATTGTGCATGTCATAGAGGAAGGAGATCCTATGAGGCGCATGCAATTTTGAAGATAGCAATTATTTAAGAAAAATTCTATGGACCGACAAATCAAAATTTAATAAAGACGGCATAACAAACTACCATAACGCTCACTATTGGCGTGAACGTGCAGTGAGAAATCCTCATATGAAGAGACCAAAAGAATCTCAAAGGCGATTTTGTCTGAATGTCTGGATGGGCATTATAAATAACTGTTTGGTAGGACCACATTTCCTACCCGACAACTTAAATGGAGAAGCCTACGAAAATTTCTTAAGAAATGTACTATTTGAATTACTTGAAGACGTGCCGCTACACACAAGACACAGAATGATTTTTCAGCATGTCGGGTGCCCAGCGCATTTCAGAATAAGTGTTAGAAATTGGTTAAATGAGCTGTTTCCGAATCGATGGACCGGTAGAGGCGGACCAATCCCATGGCCAGCACGCAGTTTCGATCTCACACCTATGGACTTTTTTGTGTGGAGTCGCATGAAAGCTTTAGTATACTCTGATCAACATCCTGTACCCACAATTGAAGACCTCAGAAGCAGGATAATACATGCAGCACAAGGCTTGAAGCCTCTCTTAGGAATTCGGCGGTAGTAAAATCAGCTGTCATAAGAAGAGCACGTATGTGCATTAGAAATAGAGAGCGACATACTGAACATGTATTATAAAAATAAAAAAATGTAGTTTCTAACCAATTATCCTGTATCAAGGTATGATTTTGTAAGTGTAGTATTTTTATTGCTTTTTCCTTCCTCCTTTTATAATAGTCATACTTTTGCCAATTCTTAATCGATTTGTGATTATTATTCCTCATTTGAAAGGTAATGAAACGTAGATGTTTTCCAATTATTTATTACGAAAAATATGTATGCGACTTTTTCTAGTAAACTGAAGCTTTTGAGATGAACGAAGATTTTTTTAACAAAAATCTAACTATTTTGAAGCTTACTGCATGAGATAACGTCAATAATGTACAATTGAGTATAAAATTTCGTATTTTAGAATATTTTTTTTGAAACCAAAAAAAATCGAATGAAACACCTAATTTTCAAGTTGGTTAACATGGTTAACGTATAAAGGACGTTAATTTTATAAAATCTTAAAAAATAGTATAATTCGAAAACGGCTAATTTTTGGTCAGTAGTTCCTATAGTAAAATTGACGCAGATTGGCTTGTACTATCTCCCCCCACCGGCTCCGCATCTATTTTCCCGTCACCCTGTATATCAATACACCCGAACACATTAAAAATTATCGAAAAGCAATTGTTGTTGTTTTGTTTTTGTTGAGCTGGATACGTTGCGGGGTACTATTGCACAATCTGGCAACCATGGCGCACCCTCAGAAATGACCGCTGACATGACATAAGTCAGGCGAGATACCCTTGAATAGCGTGGACCGTTAAACT